TCGTGGTACCTGTTAGGGATGGGCTGTTTGACGATTGCCAGACCCTTTCTAGGCTGATCAGAGGGTTATAAAGCTGCAGTGGCTCTCCGGGACGGTCCCAAGGCTAGTGGCATTGGGGGTGGCTTCGGCTTTTCCAGATGGGACTGCCAAGGACGGAAGGGTGCAGGGTGGGTGTAGTCTGTAGAACTACCCAAAGCCAGCGCAGCACAGCCCATGGAGGTCACCAAGGAGTCCTCGGGGCCCCTTAAGGAAAGCGTCCCAAAGAGACGGAAGGAGTTTGCCCCTGGACATGCACGTAGCCCAGATCTGCTGAAGAAGGCAGCTGAACCAGAGAGGAGCCTTAGGCTAGTATCTGGGGGACCCATGTTCCAATAGTGGCCTCTTCACACTCACTCCATGCTGCCTTCTCTAAGACGAGAGCCTAGGCAGGGGCTGCCGAGCTAGCAAGGACCCAACAGTCATGGAAACCCTACTTCCCACCTCACAGACATATGCTGAGAGTAGCAGATGACAAGCACACTCACCCGTTGCGTGTGTATGTTCGTGGGCACATGTGTGTCTGTGCACACAATACTCACTTCCGTCTTACCCAGTGAAATGTCACTGCCAGGCAGCTTGGCCTGCCCAAGACTGCGTGCTAGGAAGAGAGTCTGCACTGGGTTTTGGAGCCTGGCTCTGCATCCACGGGTGCAGCCGTCACTCTACAGTGCCCAGTGGTGCTGGGGAAGGTCTAGGGTCCGCTATAAGTCCATCCAGGCGGTGCTGGGGAAGGTCTAGGGTCCGCTATAAGTCCATCCAGGCCACGCCCGAGCAGCCCCTGTACCACACCAGAAGCCCAACACTGGGAAACTGTCTGCTCGTCCTTTACACATCTCCTTAGTTAGGAGACAGAAACCTAGAGAAAGCAAGTCGCCGATAGGTGTCAGCTCCAAAGGGACCGGACACCAGCAGTTTCAAGTCAGCGAAGGCCACTTCTGCCACGCCTGCTGCTCACTCCCAGCATCCTTTGTGTCACGAGCCTGATACCAGCCATGACATACGTTCACTCCCACGTTCCTATCCACCTTCTCTCAGAATCAATATCAACAGAGCCGTCAAGTGTGGGTACTAATTATTTCTTTGGGATAGTCCGTAACGTGTGTAAGTAACTCCATAAAATGTGAAAATGTATGGCAGCCTATATGTTTCAAATCACCTCACTCATGCGAGCTGACCTTTCCGGGAAACCGCAGGTGAGTTTAGTAGGCTCTGGAGTCATCTAGTCAGCGAGGAGTTTGGTCTTGCCTGAGGTCACGCAGTGATGGGACCAGAGTTGACTCTCTGTGTCCCCACAGGGAGTTAGTTATCAGAGGGACTTAGCAGCCTTGGGCCTGCCTGCCCCCAGATTTTATGAGGATACCAGCCTCAGGAGACTGAATCAAGCCTCAGTGGGTGTGGTCTAGCTAGCTGAGGGTTGGTTGAGATGGCTTGCCGGTTGAGAGGCTCTGGTAACAGTGACTGGTCATCATACTGAGCAGTCCTTGTAGTTGTGTGAACAGGAGCTGCCCACGCTCACTGCAAGCCTATACGGGCTGGTCTAACCATCTTCGCATCAACAACCGAGTTCTTGCAACCAAGGTGGGGGTAGCTGCTATTTCCACCTCAGTGAACAAAGCGAGGGAGGTGGAGTTTTGATTTTGTTTTTTTTTTAAAGGTATTTGCTCTGGGACAAAAAGTCCTATAATAATACGTTCTAAAAATGTTAATAGAATATATTGCATTTTTATTATTCATTATCCACATCAAATAATATTTATGGGTATTCATGACATGAAATGTGATGCTTTTTTTTTGTTTAATAATAGGTCAGTGCTTGTAAAGCCTAAAAAGTTTCACTTGTGTATGTATGTATGTATGTATGTATGTATGTATGTATGTGTACCATGGAACACGTGTGGGGGTCAGAGGACAACTTATGGAAGCAAGTTCTTTCCTTTCACTACATGGGACCTGAGGGTTGAATTCAGGCTGTCAGGCCTGGCGGCATGTAGTAAGCCGTCTTACTGGTCCAACACGTAGACCTTTAAACTCAGCTCAACGCTGCTTGGTTGGTGGGTGGCAGAGAGGGCTGTATTTATGCCCTAACCTCACCTCTTGCTTTATAAGCCAAAGAATAATCTCACAGGGAGACTTCTGTTTGGCTCATCTGACAGGTAACCTTTGATAAGCGCGGGTCTCAGGCTGGACCCGGGAACCACCACAGACATGGCAACTGGCTTCGAGGGACAGGGGACGGCCCGAGGGCTCAGCCGGGGCCCATCGCCCACTCTGCCTGCTGATTCCCAGCACTATAAAGCGGGGTGTGTGAAGCAGATGCTCGGTTTTAGGCTTGCTTGGGTAGCAAGCTCACGCTTGGGCGTTCTTACATCCCATTGGTCACTCCCTTGCAGCTCAGCTCCCTCAGCCCTGTGAAGCGGGACTGTTGAGTTGGGAGCTAAATAAAAGTCCTAGAAGGTGGTTCAGGATCAGTGGCCTGCTGGGACCTGAGACCTGACACCCATAGGTGTCTCTCTGTAGGGCCTGTCTAGTGCCCCCCCTGCCAAGGGTTTGCACGGACCCAGACCAGTAAGTAGCTCATGCCAACTGCTCTGGGTCACAGGCCAGAGGGACAACAGACAGTGGCCTCCCTAAAAAACTCACATACCTACCCATTGCCCTGGAAGTTCTGAAGCAAGGAAGTAATGTGATTTGATTATGAACGAATTCACTGACGGCTCCTAACAAGAATGGTCAGTGAATGGCAAATTCGAGCTTGGACTAGGCCAGCGGTAGCAGACATGGAGGCAAGGGACAGGTACTAGGAGAATCTGGTGGTAAAATTGGTTTGGATACCAGAGTTTCATTAAGAATTGACAACCCAGCCCAGCAATGGTGGCGCACACCTTTAATCCCAGCACCCGGGAGGCAGAGGCAGGAGGATCTCTGAGTTCAGGGCCAGCCTGGTCTACAGAGCAAGTTCCATGTAAGACTCCAAAGCTACAGAGAAACCCTGCCTTGAAAACAAAGAACTGACAACCCCCTGAGTTACTGGCTTGGAGTACTTGGTGGATGGTGGCACCACTGGTTAAGGTAAAGAATGTGAAGGAGTGTTTGGGGTGGGGATAAACAGTAGGGCCCCAGGAGCCACCATGGGAAGTGTGGGCTGGCTTGAGCTGAGCACAGCTAAGCTGGCCAAGAGGAATATGGGTGAAAAGGTGTTTTGCAGATCACACCCAACGGTCTGGTTGTGAAGTGGAGGGAAAAATACAGGATAGTGGCCTCAAGACAAGATGAAGGGGTTATCAGGGGACACCGCGAACCTGAAATGGTCCCTTGTGACCTCTTACAGCAAAGCACTGAGTAACTCGGGAAGGGATCAGAGCCATCGGGCTGGGCTACGTTGGCTTTGCTGGTGGTGTGCGAGGGAAGCTGCCAGGAGACAGAACAAGGGTGGCCCTGTTGGCCAAGTGCGAACCACAGGAAGCATTAGCCTCCGTCTCCATTCCCTTCCCTTTCACTGGCCTCTACCTGTGGACGGTCAGTCAAGGCTCCAGTTTCCAAGGTGGAACCCATCCAGCTGTTCGTCCACGTGGGACCAGGCACTACAACAGCATGCTGGTGGGTTTGATGAGACCGTTTCCGCATAGGACGTTAAAGGCATGCTCGTTTCCCATCATAAGAGATACAATGGAGAATGCTACTTCGGGCCTTCTACTCTTGGCTTCACAGACTCTCCTCTGGAGGTGGTGGAGTGGGGGGGGGGGTTGGGGGAGGTGCCACTGACATGCACTCTGGAATCCACGCCTGAGAAATCAGCTTTGTTTTTAAGTGTGAAATTCTGATACAATTACATGTTTGGTTACGTGGGAGCCTGATGCAGTGGACACATTTCTAATCTTATCAATTTTCCTACACTGGACTTATGCCGAGGCTGACTTCTAGCTAGCATCAGGAGCTCGATTCACACCTTAAAACTACCAGAGTTGGGGCAGATCTCTGCAGGACTTACCCAGGGCTCACAAACAGTGCTCCAGGTCTCTCCTGGGCAGAGGGGCTTGCAAAAGGGAGATCTGGCAATTCCAGACTCCAGATGAGTTATTGGCAAATAAACGCACCCATCTGCTTCTTTTAGGAAATAGGCATGTGACTCCCAATCAGTGATGAGCACTAGGAGGGGCGGAGGAAGCGTCAGGCTAAGAGTGCCTCCTCTTAGCCCCACCTCACCTGGGACGTCACGCTAGGTAAGGATGCCTGCCCGGGATGCCATGGTCAACTTATGATTCCATATCCACTTTCCGTACCTTCCAGAAGCCCCATCTGTGAGCCACACCCCTCCCCATCCCTGAGGCCTCAGTACTGAAGCTCAGCAGTCTTTGCAAACTGAATCTCCCGCCTCAAGTAGTTCGGTCTTTTCAGCCCTTCCCCAGAAACCAGCGACTTCAGACATCTTCCATGCTCAGGAATAACCCCGAAGGACAGCCACTCCAGCCCAACAGACTGTCCCTTACAGGTGTAGCCTCTGTGCGCGAGTCTCAGAGTCTCTCACACCACCCACCACGCACATTGACCCAGCACCGGGCTCTGCTTAATGACAACTCTGGGAGCCAGTGACTCTTCCTGCTAGGGCACACTTTTAGTTCTTCCCCCATCGGGGTTTCTCCTGGGGACACTTTGTGTGCCAGTGCAGTAGGATTATCACGGGCAGGCACTGTGAAGTTTCACAGGTAAAGCAAACACAGCTTCCAGAGGGCCAGGTCACACTGTCTCCTTGTGTGTGCATCTGCACAGGCAGTTCCCTAGCGGGTGACAGAGGCTACCCTGGCTTTGCAAAGCTCTGCCTCTGCCAGGACCCACCTACGACAATGCTCTGCCCCCTATATGGATGGGAGAGAGCACCTAACCAGATCACTTGCAATACAATGTCTTATGACTTCATCTCCCTTGAAATCTAACAACATCTGAGGGAAAAAAAAAAAAAAAAACCCAAAACAAAACAATTTAATGATGGCTTCCTTGGTTTACAGACAACAGAAAGGTGATCATTTCTCTCCATGCATGGTACAATGAAATTCAGGGACAAGTGTTCATCCAAGGACAGGAGCCATGGTATTCAACCCCCTGCTGCTCAGCTCCCTATCCTATGGTCCAGCTTGATGGCTCGGCAGTCGCAGTCACCGAGGGTTTATGGGGGCTGCATGGCCTCCTGAGAGGGGACAGCGCTGAGTATGCTGGGTACTGCCGTGCATAGGTGGGCCAGGAGCCGAGGCAAAGGACGGAGGCTTCCTGGTGGGGGGGGGGGTTGGAGGCTTCCTGGGAGGTGGCTCAGTGGCACCTGAACAATTCCTGAGGATGGGGACATGGGCCAAGTAGGAGCTAAGGTACTGGCCCTGCAGAGAGCGGAATGAGGAGCCTGGAGCACAGGCTCAGTGCTGGGCACCCACAGAGCCCGTCTCCCAAAGGGCAGAAAGATTCCCCAAGATTCGGAGCGGAGAACAATGAGAAGGGATAAATGGCATCCAGCCTTGTGGTCACCTCAAATGTCTCTGTTCCCTTCTGCCTTGCCTTTCCTCCCTCCACCCCAGAGACCTACAGACACACTAGAGACCAGAGACCCAATCACACTCCCTGGTTAAAACAGCCGAGTACACTTGTAGAGAGGGAGGACAAATACCACGGGCTTTTGAAGGGTTGGCTACAAGAAGGGGAGGGAGCTGGCCACTGGCTCCGTCGAGCCCCAGAAACTGGCAGCCATGGCCTGGTCCTTGGTGCCACCGCGTGAGCCGTTTAACTGAGCATCTTGTGCCGGTCGAAGACTGTCCTCCGCTGCTCCTGAACTTGCAATTTCCACCGCTGCTGAGCGCCTTCCACTCGCTCCAGGACAGTGTTAGCTCGGGGTCCCCCGATGGATGCAGCCACCGCCGCCGCGGAGCGTGCGTCCTGCATCGGAAGGAGAAAGGAAGTGATCTGGAGTGAGGGTGGATGGGTCAGAGCCTGAATTCCCCAAGCGCTTCGGGCTTCATGAGGACCTTGACTCGTCACCTGCACACCGTAACAGTGCACCTGGATAGAAGAGCTCAGGTGCCTTCAAGAGTCAGAAGGAGCAGTTTCTGGTCCTCTCCTTGAGCGCTGGCTCAAGTCTAGGCTCATCCTAACCCCACAGGCACACTCCTAAGTCTAAGAAGTACTGGTATTGGCCTCAAGACCTCACTCATATAAGCCAAGGCTTCAAGGCTATGTTCACAATGTACAGGGCTGGTACTGAACTGTGTACTTCCCCTACCTGTCCTGCCCAGGGAAAAACAGGAAGGCCAGGGACAGGGCCTGGCTACTCTGAGATTGGGCCCTCTTTACCAGGTGGGAGAGGGGCCTGTTAAAAGGAGCTGCAGGATCTCTTGAAGAGGACACTTGGACAGATGGGCGGGCGGATGGACAGACACACTCATACACACAGGCACACACAGACATACACACACACACAGACACACACACACACAGAGGCATACACACACACACAGACATACAGGCATACACACAGACACACACACAGACACACACACACAGAGAGACACACACACACAGACATACAGGCATACACACAGACACACACACAGACACACACACACACACACAGACACACACACAGACACACACATACACACACCCAAGCTTGCTCCTCCTGGAAAGGAGAAGGGGGGGGTCACCATTTAGTGTCTGGCAGGGGTGGAGACCTGGGGTTCAAGCCCAGCATTCCCATTCCTGGGCTGCTGTGGCCGTGGCCTGCTTGGCAGCTCTGCTCCCCCTTAGCCTGTCCCCCTGTCCCCTGTCCCCTTTGCTCCCAGACCCACTTTCCTTCTGCCAGTCTCCCCTTAATTATCACCCTCTGCCTCTGAAGCTCCAGAGCCCATGCATTTCCTGCAGGACCCAAAGCTGATCTTTGGGGGAGAATTAGAGCCGAGGGCCAGGCCCACAGCCCATGGGGATTTCCTCTCCAGCTCTCTGCGCCTCTCATCTCCTGCCACATGTCTCTTAAAGGATTAGTGCGCCCCTCTAAGCCCAGAGCCGCCCAGTAAATGCAACTTTGCCTCTAATGCCCCGAGCTGGCATAGCTTCTGTCGCCGCACGGCAGCCAGGCTAGAGAGCAGGGCGGAGCAGGAAGGTACAGCCAAGCTGGCGGCGCACAGGGACAGGCGACCGGCTTGCAAAGGCATGGAATAGTCTTATCTGTGAAGCACAGTTTGTCTTGAGCTCACTTGTTTCTAAGGTGACTTAGAGTCCCGTCCCCCCCGAAGCCCTGCCCAAGACCCCAAGTGGGACATCATTGTCAGGCCGGGTGGGGCCCAGGCCTGTAATCCCAGCTACCCAGGGAGTGGAGGCAGGGGGATAAGATGTTTAAGGCCAGTAGGGACATCTTAGTGAGATGCTGTGCCAGGATAAACCGTGTTTAAAGAGCTGGGGATGGGTCTGGGCAGGGAATAAAGCACTTGCCTAGTCTGCATACGGTTGTAGTAACATGCCTAAAGCAAAAAGCAAACCCAAACAAAAATCCTAGTCCCGTCTCACAAAGTCCCTTTGGTGACCTAATGGGCTTGCACACCACGGCATGGCTAGTGGACGTGATGTCACAGGAAGACCCTTATGTCAGATGGCAAGCACGGAATGAGGGCACACGTGGCCTCTCTGGGAGCTCAGCACAGTGGTGCCGCCTCGAACAAACATGATTTTACCCCTGCCTGATACACAACCTTAGGTGAGTCAACCCTCAGAACCAATGCCTCCGTACACAAGACGGACACTGAGGCAGCCTCGTCGATGAACACGACGGACGCAGAAACTTTGTCAGCGTCTGGGCATAGTGACCATTCAAGTTCAGTGTGAGAAATCTCAAATACTGGTTCCGGGACCCACCAGCATTTGAGGGGACCCACCAGCATTTGAGGGGACCCACCAGCAAACGGGGCAGGGGGAGGAGTTAGAGCAGGCAGACTTCCGTCAGGGCAGCTGCCTCTGAAGAGTCACCATGGCCTACACCTGACTCTGATCCTCCTCAGGCTGCCCGTGCTGCCATAAGAACACAGCTTGGCTCAAATTGGCGTCAGCACGGATGTGGGGTTGGGGTGGGCACCGAAGGGCGACCAGGCTCGGGAAAAGCTGGCCTGCCAGGACCCCCCGAGCCAGCTGTGGGGGGCCTGAGGGGCTGCTTTCCTCCTCATGCCTACTCTTGTCCATTCTAGAACAGTGTTGCTCTGGTAGACGCGCATCTGGATGTAAAGCCCGGAGGGCAGGACTAGGCTCATCTGGGACAGAGCCCAGAGGGTGGGAGGGCACAGCAGGGCTTGAAGGGAGCAGGAACAGCTCGCCGCATTACCACAGTTGCCTTTGTGAGTGCTAACCGCTTCCAAGGGCGTCCCCATGGCTAACAGTCTGACTAAGAGGTCTTAGAGCATCCATGTCTGTTCCCAGGAACCTGCTCAGCGGTAGGGCTGACAGGTGACCGCGGTGGGTGGGTGTGGGGCAAGGAAGTCATCACCTCTAAGCCTTCTCCCTTCGGGGCTGGGTCTGAGATGCAAGGGACAGTTAGGGTAGGGGGTGGATGGACCCCCCCCACACACCACACAGTGGTAAATGAATATGCGTGAGTCCCTAGAGGTCCCCAGGTAACCAGACCAATGTGACCCTGGCAGGCATACACCACCACACACCAGGCTCTTTCCCAGGCACATCACTTGTAGGGTCATCTCCCGGCAAACAGCTAATGTCACCTCCACTGTGAACAAAGCAACTTAAGACGCCGAAGGAGGAATCGTCTTGTAACCCAAGGTCACGAGGCTGCACGGAACCATGTCTAAACTTGCACACGCACCTGTATTTCCTGTCTTAGGACTCAGTAGCGTCTGTCTTTGGCTGGTTTTTTCCCCAAAGGGAAATCATATGGATAACCAAAAGAGCGGACACAACTCAATCCACCTCTCCAAGCAGGAACAATCCAGTGCCTGGCCCAAACACTGACCCTGAGGTAAGAGCTCCCGTGTCCACTTCAGGGTTAGGAAACTACTCCCTGTGATCAGAAGCATGGGCAGTGAGTGCCAGAGCTGGGACCCCAACTAGAGCTACCCTCAAGTGCTGTGCAGTGCAGCCCCAAGATGGTCTAGAAGCGTCTACTGAACGGCACGCCTTCCTATTCTATCATCAGGGTGAGGGCCATCGGAACAGCCTGCACCGGTGTTAGCCAGACCCTGGGGGGGGGGCAGGGTTCTCAGCAGAGCCCCGCACTACCATCCATGAACAGAAGAGAGGCCCATCTTCAGAAGCCCTCTTTGTCTAGCACCCACCACGTCCTTAGTTCCCATCATCCTTATCCCCGCTTTTTGGTTCCCTTGTATACTTCCTCCCATGGATCTCAGCACTAACTCTCTCCTCAGACCCCAGTGGGCTGAGAACTTTGAAGACCATGTCAGAGCTCAGGGGTGAGTGGCGGAGACAGCTAAAGCCACAGAGAAACCCTCATTTCTCCCTCTTCAAAGGGGGCCAGCCCTGTACATCTAACACAGCTCTGTTGCCATTCTGTCCCTACAAACACACGGGCTTCCTCTTTTCAAAGGGCGTCTGAGCCCAGGGATTAGGCCCTAATGCCGCTGGAATCCGGGGAGGCAGCGCCCAGCAGCCAGGCCCACTGAGGCTCTGCCAGAGCTTTCAAAGGGAGCACAGCAGGCTTTCATCTCCTCTGGGGACTGTGCTGCGCTGTGGGGGGATGGATGTCTGTCTGCCTTTCTTTGCCAGGCTTCCAGGCCCTCGGAGAAGAGCTCCGACCTACAGAGTTGGGGTGAGGGAGCCCCTAATCCTGACAAAGACTCTGGCTATCAAAATCTCACATCGTCGTCGGCCAGGCTCCTGGGAGAGGGGAAGGGCAGCCCGAGGCCTGGACACTGTTCTTCCTGAGGTCATTGGCTGTATAAGCTCACATGACTGACCTTTTAAGGATTTCCCCTACCCCCACCCTGCCCGCCAGGCCAGGCCTTCACTCCAGCTCCCTTTTTTTTTTTTTTTTTGAGCTGAAAGTTAAAATCCCTCTGGGTCAGGGGAGGCCTCCTCCTTAGGGAAATACTGTCCGGGACACTAGTCAGCCCAGAGACACCGCCAAGGCCCTGGCTTTGTTGCCGCTCAGAAGGCGACCATGGGGACCTTACTCATGCAGATTGTAGGGGAGTAGACAGTCTCTCACCATCCCAGACTAGAGTTGTCAAAGGCCCCATAAGAAGGCACCTTAAGCCGTGTCCAGCTCAGGGCCCACCATGCTCCCTGACAAGGTACAGTACTCTCTCACCCATCAGCCCTTTAAATGAGTTGCTCTGCTAGGAAGCCTCCTAACACAGACACCTCTTTTAGTACCCAGCTTCAGAAAGGCTGTCATCCACAGTCTGCCCATGTGGCCCTGGCCCAGTCAATCTCCCCCCAGTACAGCCTGCAGGATTTCAGACACAGCGGAAGAGGATGGGAGCTGCCGAGCCACAGGCACCTACGCCTGGACGGTTACACAGAATAACAGGAAGTCAGGGATGGGACAGAGATGCCGTGTAATGGGAACACTGCATTTTCTAGCTCACTTCGAGGGTACTCATCCTGAAACTAATCCTGTGCATCCATCCCCACCCCAACCCCCCTGTGTGTTAGACCAACCAGAGCAAGCTCATTCCAGCAACAGCCTTCAAGAAACCAAATACAATGCTCTATGGCCCTTAGAACCCTTGGGCAGGAGGCGAGGGGTACCCTCCTGCCTGTCCTCTACAGATGGGAAACGAGCTCATAGAGAGAGCACGCTGCAGCCCCTTATACGGCTAGACAGCAACCCTTCTTAGAGAACCCTTCCCAGGCCAAATGAGCAGGCAGAAGAAGCTACTCTGACTCAGGTCCTGTTCCAGGGACCTGACCACATCCTCAAGGCTCTCCACAGACAGACCCCAAGTGAGGAGAAGAGAGGCCTAGGTGCAGACGTAGAGACGGCAAACCACCCTCTCTCCTGGCTCCATATCTAGGACGGCAGGAGACGTGGCCATACCCGAGAGCCATGCATTCCTAGGGGATCCTGGCGCAAGCTGTGTAATCATGGGCTGCGTCTCTCAATTATTCCCCGGCCAGGACTGCAATTACCACATTACCCCTAATCGCCCCGTGTTTATTAGTGATGGGCTCTCCTATCAGAGCTGCTATTACTCTACATTAATAACTGGGTAGGCGAGCAAGCTTTCCTCTTGAGCACAGACCACCCAACTGTCAGGACCTCCACCTCCCCCGCCCCACCTCCAGGGGGCGAGGCTCCTCACCTCTGCTCCACCTTTGGCCAAAACCATGCTAGCAGGAGGCTGGCGGGAGTGGCCTCCCCTGCCGGGACTGTCCTTATCCTCCTGGTCTGGGCTGGCCTCCATCCCTCCACACGGGGAGCTTCACACAGACCCACATGTAGCTGCCCTCATGCTGGATTTGAACCCGCCTTCTCTTGTCTCCAATCTAGAACTTTAAAACCTCTAAAACCGTAATGTAGCTCTGCCTAGTCCTGGTCACCTCCAGTGACCCACAATGGACTACATTAAAAGGGAACCCTCCTCTCTGTCTTTCAACTGTATACGCACACGCCTGACACAATCCTATTCCAACCTGCAGGCCCTTCCGTCCCCCAGGGCCGAGCTCTCCTCTACCAACACCTGAAGGCAGCAGGCACGTGTTAAGGAAATCTCCCAGGCATCGGCCGACATGGTGAGGCCCATTCCCACTGTGTGTGTATCTGGATATGCCTAGGTTCCTGTACCAAATAGCATCTTCCAGCAAGGAGGCCGAGGGGGCAGAGCTCAGCGACCCTGCCCGTCGCCCCGACAGGTACGTAGGCAGCCTGGCACAGTGGCCCCCATTCCCTTATCGTACAAAGTCAAACCCTTTAGTTTGACATTGACGGCCTTCACTAATCTGGCTGAACTTCCTGGCCAGCTCCACGTGTTACCTAAGAGATCCAGCTTCTGCATTTGTCCATGGTGGTGCCGGGACACCGCCCCCCTGGCCCCTCTGCCTCCAGCCCCTTGGGCCAAGCTTTGAAGTGAGCAGGCACTCGACAGATGTTTGCAGAATCCCCGCACAAAAGAATAAGCCTAGCCTTCCATATACTTGTCACCAATCCGAGCACGTGTACCTACATGCAAGAGGCTCTGTGTGAATCAACCCTCCACCCTCACTCTTTGCCCAGCTTAGGAACACCGCGCATTGACCAGGTGCTGGGGAAGTTCAGGGCCGCCACCTTCTACGTCTGGAAGGGCAAAGGGCGATTTGCTGCTGTTTCTTGGTGGAGTATGAGAAAATGCACAGGGAAAAGCAACCCGGAGATGACTGGGGGGGGGGAGGGGGCAGGGAGGAGGGGCACCCCTACTTTAGGGCTTAGCCTAGAGACCCAGCGTGCTGGGAGCCCAGGACTACGGTTACCTCATTTTCCTCTTCATTGTGCAGCCGCTCAGTATAAGCATCCGGCTTTCGAATCAAGGGGTCCACCAGCATCAGGAAGGCCATGTAGAGCAGGAGGGCCCCCACCACAGACAGGTAGATGACGATGATGATCTGAGGAAGACATCAGCCTTACTCCGTGACCCAGCATTCAGACCAAGACCCCATTTCTAGACTCACATCCACGTTGGCCGCGGGTGATCACCAAGTTAGACTCTGGTACCCAGAGGTGGTACGGGTCTGCAAGGGAGGGGAAATGGCCCACACCACAGGCTCTATGCCAGCCCAGGAGAGTTCTATGACAAGGAACATTCTCTTCCACACAGGGAGGAGGCAACACCAGGCTCCGAACTGAAGGTCTTAGGCATCTACACGGTCTGTAGAGGGTGGGAACCAGGGAGGCCGCTGGCTCAGGAGACGCTGCTCCAAGAAGGAGGGTGAGCAACCTGCACAGGCTGACAGAGCTAGGGAGGGCAGACAGCCACTTCCTACCTAAGAGGCAAAGGGGAATTAGAGTCCGGAAAAAGCAGGTACAGTGTGTGGGGAGTGCCTTCCTCTTCAGCACACCTCAAAAGCAGCCCGAGGGAGGATTTGGTATCTTTGACCTCAGGAGAATTGTTTCTGATGCGATTTCTCGATTTGTCAGAGGGCAAGTTTAAGAGGGTTGGCTTCATGGCCTCTAGGCAAGGTCTGATAAGTCCTGCCTAGTGGCAGAAGGCTGGACAAGGGCTTTGTGGCATCCTTCTTCATTCCCTGTGTAGTGGCCATATCTACTACGTCTGTCTTCAATTCACCCAGATGGTTAACAAAGACGAGGTTCACGGACGCTTTCTCCCAGAGGGTGACGTGCCCTTGGATAACCTGCAAGCTTCCTAGGAGTCCTTTTCCACTCCCAGCACCGTGCATCATACCCAGACAGCCAGGCACCCGGAGATATGCTCAGTACCGTCTCTCTAGAGGGAATATGGAGTCTCAGGCACCTTTAAGTTCTCGCTTCTCCCTGCATAAAAGCCACCCACCGCAGGGACGTCGGAGAGCCCATCCCTCACCCGCGGGGCAAATGTGTAGCCATCAGGTCCCATCTCTGCGTATTGGCTTTGGAATATTAACAAAAGAGCACCAGCCACAGGACGCGGGACGCACGTGCAGCCCCAGACCCGGGCAGTACCTTGATGGTGGTGGTGCTGCGCTCCTCGAATCTGCACTCGCAAAGCAGGCAGTACGCTTCCACATCATGGCCCGGCACGGGCATGGGCTCCACCACATGCAGGCAGTTGCTGCAACACAAAACAGACGGGGCCGATGCAGGGCCTTGAGGTCCAGCAAGCAGGAGGCAGGGGGTGCTCAAGGGGTAGGAGAGGCCACACATGCGCACTCCCAGGCAGGGCGGAATCCCTATCCCAGCAGCCAACAGTCTGTCCGGCGTATCTTGCGCTAGCATCGTACGCTAGCATCGTACTCATCCGTGGTCCTAAATCCCCACCCTAGCTGCCTTCTCCTTAAGTGCTGCTTTCCCTGGTGGTCACTTTTAAAAGGCTCCTCCAGCACTAACGAAGTCCTGCAGAAGTCAAGCATGGCTTCCTGAATATACCGGGCCTGGTAGTCCAAGCTGTCAGGCTGAGTTTCCGAGAGCCCCAAGGATATGCAAGAACGTGCATTGACACAAGAGTGGAAGGTCCTTTCAAAGACGCCATTATTTTTAAGTCCAGTATGTGGCCCCATCGGTTCTCTAGACCTCTGAGGATCCTGGTTCCACCTCTGGGTAACAGCTCCAACATTCTATTCCCTATGGCAGTAGGCATCTCCTCGCTGTATTTCAGGGTACTGCCTCGAGGCCCTGCACAGCTCCTTCTGCTAGTTTCCATGGGTCATCATGAGTCAGACATGGCGCTGCACACCTGTAATCCCAGTGTTCAGGAAACTAAGGCCAGAGGATCCTGAATTCAAGGTTGACCTGAATTATGAGACTGTCTCTAAAAACTAAAACAAACATTAATGTCTCATGGTCCCTGCCCAGAGCAAATGCCACCTTCCCTTTGCCAGAAAATAAAGCCTTTCTTGAGCTACACGGGGCTCTGCATCAGAAAGGCTACTCCATGGCTACAATGGGCACCGTGAATGCCCGACAAGTCCAAACTGTAGTGTTAGAATGCCATCTTTAGTTCTTCAGTTTGGCGCCCTGGTACCCAAGGAAACAGGCAGCAACGGGGTACAGAGAACAGTAATAAGGAGAAATACTTCTGTCCTTTATGGGCTGGAGAGATGGCTGGGGGGTTAAGAGCTCTGACTGCTCTTCTAGAAATTCTGAGTTCAATTCCCAGCAACCACATGGAGGCTCACAACCATCTATGATGAAATCTGGTGCCCTCTTCTGGTGTGTAAGCATACATTCAGGCAGAACACTATATAAGTAATAAAAAGTAAAACCTAAAAAAAGAGAGAGAGAAACACTTCTGTCCTTTCTGATCCTCTAGGGAGTCACTGAAGCCCTACATATTTTCTTGTTTTCCCAAGACTGGCTTCCTTCCTAAGAAAGGGACTGGGCAGGGAACATTGGGGGAAGGGTGTGAAGGAGAAAGACCAGCTCCAGTCTTCTACTTAGCCTCAGTTTCTTCACTGATAACGGGAGCTAAGCTTGATTGGTGTCTTTCAAACTGTGCCCTTTCGGGTAGCACTGGAAATACTGTGTAGAAGGCAGGTGTGGGTAAGGAAGCGTCTGCAGGACCTCCTGGCCAGTCAAGTTCGACTCTCACACCACACAGCTTGTATTCCTTGACAGACTGTGTTTGCAGAAGGATGCTACTTTGACAAGCCAGCCTTGGGGTTTGTCTGTGCTACATTTAACAAACCCACCAAGAGGGCCTCTGTTACCCGCCTGTGATTATATACTTTCAGTGCTAGGTAGCAGAATGCCAGCAACATGGAGATACACATAGCTGTGACACTGGGTGCTGGCCTCAATCTGAGCACCAGCAGAAGACCCATGGCATTCGTGCCTGAAGACTCAGAGACCTCCAATTCCAGCCCTGCCACTCAGATGCTAGGAACAATGTCAAACCCCATGCTACCAAGGGCTGCTGGGTAATATGTGATGGATCTCAGGCAGCTCGGTGCTGTTGGGCCCTAAAATCCTGGGGCCTCACCTCCAAGCATCAGTGTCCACTTGACGTTTGTCATGGAGCATGAGAATGCTCAAACAGTCCCCAAGTCTGCCTCTGAAGGGAAGGGACAAACTACAGCTTGAAAGGCTTAGGCCGGACCTCATCCTCTGGGCAAGCAAGCTTGGGTCTCTAGGACTTTTATAACAGCGTTGCTAAAATTTCCCAGTGCAGAATCTGCCTGTGTGAAGGATCTAGAGTCAGTGTAGTGTCTTTGCTGATGACAGGAAGCCACTGAAGTCCCTCCTAGACCTCCACTATTTCAGGATCATCAGATCAATAATAGCACGAGAATTAGACTAGGGTTTCCGGAGAAGGCCATGTTTTCCAGGGCTATAGCATAAATTTGACTATAAAACCTCTACGAAGGAATAATAATACTACATTGTTATTATCAATATAAGCTAACATTTATATAGCACCTAGCATGCACAGATATCACTCTAAGTGCTTTATAAATTTACATAACACACGCATTTCAACTTCACACTCAAAGTATCACCATTCTTCACTCATAAGGAGATCAATGTGGGGGTGGGGATTAAGTAATCTAAAACAGGATTAACAAATGGCAAAGCTAGACTCGGGTCCAGAAGTGCTGGATCAGAGTCTACGCGTGTGCAAGGACTAGGTTTCACCAGAGTCTACCCATGCACAAAGACTGGGTTTCAGAAACTGGTCTGTGGATCAATGGCCTCTTTGAGCACCTCAAGGACTCCAAGCCAAGATCACTCTTCCGACAGACACTACCACATCTGCTGAATCAAAACCTTGGCAGGAGACTGTCGGAACTGCGTACTTTCTTAAAGCTGGTCTAGTGATCCTTGATCACTACAAGTAGCAGCAACCTTGACCCGGGCCTTCCCCATTCAATGTATACACCTTGACCTTACCACACGTCTGATGTCTTCAAGGATGAAAATTCCCATCCTACCAGCACTGGAAATGTTTCCGTCTGTCACTCATGCTCAAGCTATCTTCCTGAAGCTGTCTACACTGTGAGGTCACCCCAAGCCTTCCTGGTTCCAATCCCAAGTGCCCCTTCCCTTCAGCAGCTGTTCTACCAATCTTGAACATCCACGGAATGTCCCCAGGTCTCTCCCTTTTCAGGGAGATTCTAGGTCCTTCTAGAACATGGTATTTATTCTTCCTTTCACTGTCTTTGTTTACCCGGATGAATTCTTGGTTATTTGTGCTTTTTTAAGTAAGGGGCTAAGAAATGAATTCAAGACCAGAGACATAAGGAGCCTAATATAAGATCTTTGTTTGGACCTAAGTCTAGGCAGTTATAAAACGGGAACAACATCTACATTGTTTACAATAGAAGACTGCTAAGAAACTAGAACAGAATACAGGTGACAGCTTGGCAAAACCACCAGAATGGTGCTTACTACATACACCTGCCCCTCCCACACCTCTACATCAGCTCAAATTGGAAACAAAATCCAACACCCCCACCTGAGCTGTAATTCAAGATCCCTGGGTTTTGTTATCAAATGGTGAAGGAGGAAATAGTCTTTTGTAGGCTCTCCACAGAAATGGGTAGTTTATCTCTAGAACAGGGAGTCTAGTAAGCCCTGATAATTTCGACCAGGTAATGTAGCCAAGGGCCAGCCATTTACTCTGTCTTACCAGTCCTTCTGAGAGACATTCTGGTTGTAAATGTGCCCACTGATGTTCCTGTAAGGCGGACAGATGCATTTGCACCGGACATCTTCAGAACTCTGCAAGATAGAAAAGGAGTAAACAACAAGGAAGACCCTGCATGGGTTCAGATTCCAACCAGGCTAGCACGGTTCAGTACTGTGTCCATCTCCTCGGCCCCAAATCACCAAGGACCGATTCTACAGGAAGGCTGTCACCTCACAGAGTCCTCAAGATAGGAAGCTCTCTGGTATCAAAAGAAAAAACAGAAGTTGCCTGAGGCAGGGCACACATCACACAAAGTGACAGGCCTCGACTCTGGGGTCCACACTTGGGTATTTTCTGTCTGGTGGGGTAGGTGGGGTAGAATTGTCCTCAATTCCCTCTTAACTCCCTAGGTTAGAATGGAGGCTGGGGTGAATAGAGAGAAGTGGGTGTTACCATGGGAAGGCTCCCTCCAGGAATTCCTTAAGGGTGAAGAAGCAAGCCCTGCTACTCAATGTCTGAGTGATCTTCAGAATCTAAAGTCATAGACCGTCCCTCACAGAGCATCCAACCCAGCTGCTGGTCCCCCACCCCTAAGGAATGGGAGCAATCTCAGGAGTCCACCCTGAAGCCGGGTCAGCCCGAGAAGCAGAAGCTCCCATCTGTGCATGCCTTTACACCGAGCGCATTTTACAACATGATGTGAGTTTGATTATCCCCAAACTGAGCAGCAGATTCGAACACAGCTGTTTTTACTTAGGACAATACAATGGAAGCCTTGGGGGACGTGGGTGACTTCTCTAAACAAACTTTCTTGCTTGTGGCGAATTCTGCCCAGGGCCAGTCTGGCCTGAAGACCTATGAACCCTGTGCTCCCTACCCTGCGGGAAGGCCTGCACCTTGGAGGTAAGGTCCTCCAAGTGGTCCTCGGGTTGGGTGAGGGGCAAGGGAGATGCTTTGGCTAGCTCTGTGGAAGCCCCGCAGGCCCGGCGCTAGGGCAACAAGGTGCTGCTGGCTCACCTCCCTCACCTTGTTGGCTTGAGCTGGGGGCACCAGCAAGCCCCCGACCACAGCCACCAAACACAGCAGCTTCATGCTTATCGGGCTTGCCGAGCCAGCAAGACTGGACGCCTGGGGAGGATAAAAAGAAACATGGAGGAAGGTGGGTCACAACACGGCTCTGCGGGACGGCGGAAGGGGGCTGAGTCCCAGGATTCCCGGGCCTCTAAATCGTTCGCTCTCCCAAGTCCGGCTCTCGGGAGCTCCCCGTGCCCTAGCAGCGGGAGTCTTCTGGGGCTACAGCCTCCCGGAGCCCCCAGATCCTGTCTCCAGGCCCCGCTCCGACCCTCGCCTTTCTTCCCACCTCTCTGCCTCCACCGCCCCGTAGCGCCGATCGGGAAAAACGAGAAGCCCCGATTCCTACTGCCAAGGGCACTGCACACCCTGCCTAGGGGTCTGGGGCGCCAGGAACCCCCCCAGTGTCCCTGCGAGCCCCCCGCACCCCTCCCCCAATGCCCGGTCCACCAACCTGCAAGCTCCGCCGCAGCCGCCACAGACCAGCAAGCCCCACCCCTCCAGGTTCTATTGGCTTCCAGAGCCGCCGCTCAGCCCAATCTCGCTGGTCGCCAAGGCAACAAGACCCACCTTCGCCTGGCCCCGGAGGCTCCCAGTCTGCAGAGAGGAAGGCATTTCTCCACCAGGACCGAGCAAGAAGAGGGGATGTCTGCCTTCCCAAAGGGGACCGACCGAAGACCTAACCCGGGGACCCGGCCAACTCCTCCCAGACTGCTTTGTTCTTCCTCGCCTGCGTTATGCTATCTTCCTGTTCCAGGAAAAGCATTTTAGATAGAAATGAAGGTAGTGACAACAATAGCGAGTTAGAAACAAGATCAAGGAGGATTTGTGCTTGCTTGTTCACAGTCTGGAAACAATTTAAAGGGCCACGTGTTTTTTGAAAGGACCCAGTGTCGATTCCCCCCCACACTAAGACACAACCCGAGGAGAATAAAACAGGATTGTTAGTAGGTGTGGGTCTGGAGTGGAGGCTGTGTCTCATTAGCCTACACTGGTTCTAAAGGTCTGGCAAGTCGAGACAAGGTCTACAAGGCGTGGCTGGGATTAGGGGAAGGTTGCAGGCCGCAGAGGGACAGATGTGAATTTCTTCCCAGCAGTGACAAAGGCTGGAGTCATCGGAGCCCAGGGCCACTACAGTGAGGACACTTGATACCCCTTCCGTCTCTGGGTACCAGTTTCTTTAGCTGAGGGTCCCTTCAGCTTTAACGGATTGGGGTTCCTGGAGGGAGGAGTAGTCACATGACCGACATGTGATTTAGACAGAGAACTGCGTGCCACAGAAGACTTTTTCTCCCCTGGCATATTATTTGAGCACCTGTCAGTTGCTGCACCAGACACGAGGCTGTTCAGAGGAGCAGGGAGGCAACCCTTGACTGCTGTTGCAGAACTTGATACATGTCACAAAGAAAACAATGTATTTAGGACAGTAAGAGCTTAGCTGGGAAAAAGGAATGCAAAAGCTCTGACCACAAGCGGAGCCAGCAGAGTTCAGTATGGCGGTGAAGCTTTGATGGGAAGATAGCATGGGGCTCTCTCTCTGAGCTGGTGGGGTGTGATAAGAATACCGGCGGGGCTATCAGAGGTCCATGCCTACTGCCAGAACCTGTGAGCGTGTTATCTTGTAGCAGACTTCTCTTTGGGCCACCAGCTCACAAAAAAACAGACAAACAAAAACAAAACATAATGCAGAGACTTATTATTAATTATGAAAACTTGGCCTTAGCTTAGGCTTGTCCCACTTATTTTAATCTACGTTCTGTGGTATGGCCTCTTTACTTCATCTTCCTGTACTGCCCATGCTGCTGCTTCTGTGTCTGGCCGGCTTCTCCACCTTTCTTCTTCCCAGAGTCCTCTCCATCCCCGGAAGTCCCGCCTAACCTCTTCCTGCCTAATTATTGGCCATTCGGCTCCTTATTAAACCAACCACAGTGGCACATCTTCACATAGTGTAGAAGAATATTCTGCAACATTCATTATCCAGCAAAAGGACTTTGCAGATGTGATAGTGTTATGTTTTATCAAGGCCTCCTTTAGGATCGAGAGGGTATGTTGGATTATTCAGGCCAGTCCAATCTGATCAGGGGAGGCTTCAAGAGAGGAATTCTTTCCTGGCTGTGGGAGAGAAAAGTGTGGCCATGTGTCTGGTGGGCTGTTGCTGACTTTGAAGGCAGAGGAAAGAGTTTTGCAAAAAGGGATGTTGGTGCCTTAGAAAAACCAAAGAAGCCACCTTTAGACCATCTAGAAGTCCGCAGAGATGAAATATAGTTGTGTTGTTTTGAGCCACAAAGTTCATGGCAGTTTGTTGCAAGAGCAGCAGGTAAAGGCAGAGGAGGAAAGGTACAGGGTTGTGCAAATGCATGGAAATGCTTGCAGGAAAAGGGCAAATGGCTCAGCACGGGTCTACTTGCACTACTGTTTTTATCCCAACAATCTTAGCATGAGTTTGCCTGCATAAGCTAGGTTTGGAGTCCCTGCTAGAGCAGAGGGTCTATGTTCGTCCTCACCCCTGCTTCTACTGTTGTATTCCTAGGTAGGAAGCAGATGGCTATCATCACCCCTCCCCCTCCTGTGCATTTCTCACAGGGATCAGCTGCATCCCTTACTTCCCCACTATTACTCAGCAAAGCTTATCTGTCCGATGCCGGGTAGCCTCGGGATCCAGGCAGGTGATGACCATCCTCAGATGGCATTAACAACCACACCTGAGCCACACTGCAGGTCATCCAACCTAAGTAGAAAATAAGGCCCAATGAATGGATGTCCGTCATTTGTGCAATGTGGGGACGCAGGGGTCTTGATCCACCTATCATATAAAGTTGTCATTCTGCCCACTGATGGCCGGTCCAGTGCTTGGGGCCATCCTCGAAACAGATTTGTGCACCACCTTCAGATAACCTAAATAAATGCATTGTTTCTAACCAAAACAGAATGTATCAAGATCAGAGAAACCAGGGTACTGATGTAAGGAGAGAGGTGTAGTAGGGAGTTTGTGACCCCTGGGAAAAGACCATAGACTCAATCCAATTACAATTTAAAAAAAATCATTGATTAACTGCTAGCAGGATGCACAATGCCTGTGTCAAATTAGAGATTGGCCTTCAAGAGGGATATGAAGAAGGATTTTTAAAGGAGAAAACCACAGGAAGACTTTCAATATCTATGTAAACAATATCTATGTTCTGTTCTACCAAGTTAGCAATTAAGGAAACTCAAAACAATCTTTGGGTATCTGCGTAGCAAGTTACAGAAGCAAAAACAGCACTTAGTCATATCATAACAAGTATATAGTCATGGCGTGGCTATACATCTTCGGGTGGGGATCACTGAGTCAGGGTTGGGAGAGAACTTATCTTCCAGAGACTAAGTCAGTGACAAATGGCAGGTGGGTACCAAGATGGATGCCTGACATAAATGGAGATTTTTTTTTAGCCATAACCGTGTCCTGCTTGTATGATACTTTGATCACATTCTGACAATAAAGTTTGCTTTGAATCAGAGGGCTGAGCTTACTAGCTGACCAAAATTAACCATAGAGGTCTTAGAGGACTCAGGACAGATAGAGAGACAGGAAGTAGTAAGGCAGGTCTCAAAGAAGATCTCAGTCCCTTTGGATGAAAGAGATAGGAGGTCATTGCTCACTTCCTTGATTATTCTTACCCTGATATGTGACTCCAATTTTTTTTATCATTATTGATAAAAAAAAAATAATTAGGGCTGGAGAGATGGCTCAGTGGTTAGGAGCACTTGACTCCTGTACCAGAGGTCCTGAGTTCAATTCCCAGCAACCACATGGTAGCTTACAACCATCTGTAATGGGATCAGATTCCTTGTAATATGCTCTTTAAAAACAAAAAGAAGAATTAGGTAAACACAACATCTGGCACTCTATAAGGGACACCATTAAGATGTCCCTGTCATTAGGTAATAATATTCCCTTCTGGGGTCTTTGATGGAGTTAAAGACTAAATAATTAGACTTAAAGTTTTCCTTAGTTATAATAAAAGGTAAATTAGGTACAACACTTTAGACTCATAAAGATAAGTAGGTAATAGACTATATTCTCTAACTTTGTCAAATACAAATGGACTGTGTATTGTAATTCTTACTAGATAACTGCTTTTGTTACATGTAGTTCCACTGTGTTTAACGTTAAAACCTTCCTTTTTAATAAGACAAAGAGGGGGGAATTCTGTGGAGTAACCCTTTTGCACATTGTGAAGATTTGTCACTCAGATTGGTTTAATAAAGGGCTAAACGGCCAACAGCTAGGCAGGTAGAGGTTAGGCGGAGCTTTCAGACAAAAAGAGATCACGGAGGGAGAAGGGTGAAGTCGCCAGACAGATGCAGAAGAAGCAAGCGGGAGATGGTAAAGCGTAGATGAAGATGAGAAATACGGGTTTATTTAAGATGTAAGAGCTAGTTAGCGACGAGCCTAAGCTACTGGCCAAGCATTTATAATTAATAGTAATTCTCTGTGTGGGTATTTGGGAGCGGGCTGGTGGGACAGAAAGGCCTGCCTATACCTATTGTGCAGGCATCCTCTCTCGGTGTCTCAGACACATTTCACTCTCAACAAACGGCATCTCACTAATGTGATCTTTACCAAAGAAATAATCGTCCCAATTATGCAAATCTTGAAATAAATTCTGCCCGAAGTTTAATAAACGATGGACTCTCCGGTCTTGTCTATGCATACACAGAGTCAAATATAACACACACACACACACACACACACACACACACACACACACACACACTTCATCTGTTCACCCTCCTAGCCATCACGCACCAGGTATGATGGTGCTCACGGCCTTAGGTCAATGTTTCCTTTTCCACGTCCTATTTTTCTTGTCTCAGCTCCTTCCTAAGCACATGGTGTCCTGCTGGGTGTAGTGTACAGAACTGGGAGGGGACAGCTTACTTTGGGGTTCCATTTTTTTTTTTTTTACCCAAGCCAAATATTTTGAGTGTTTGGTTTGTGTTTCAGCTCATAGTAACAGGCATCTACGTCCCTGACATCAAATTCACGAGGCCTGTTTCTACATGAAGGGACT